ATGAAATCCTCTCGGGACTCGGGCCATGTGTTTCTCAGTGACAGTAGTTCCTGTTTGGAGGGAGTTTTGTCTTCCTTGATTCTCTGTATCACTCACTTGACAATTACTGTGACATTCTGGTGGACTCAAGTTTTATTTATCTTTTGTGCTGTTTAACTTTTCACGTGTTGGATTTGCCTGGTGTAGATCAAAGGCATCCCGCTAGGAAGGGTCCTATTTCACGCTGCTTCACTTCTATTCCCCAACCGCCTGGCCCTATGCCCTTGCACTCGGTGCCTGGAGAGCAGCGATGTTCTCTGCTTGTCTTGTTCCCCCAGCACTCAGCACAGAGGGTGTTATGAATGTAGATGGACTTGGGATCCGGCTGCCAGCTGTAGCACACGCTGTGCTAGTCCCAGGGTGACTCTGGAAGCAGTCCTTTAACCTGTTTCTGGATACTGCTAGACGATACCTAGACTGGGCAGCCACCTGAGCCATCTCCCTTGACCTTGAGCACGAAGGAATTCTTCCCCTCCCAGAGAGCTGGGACCACAGACATCGCAGGAAGGCCCTGCGTGGACTGTCCCTCCTTGTAACAATGTGCTAGACCGTCCCTCACTCCAGCACCTTCTCCCTTTGGCTGAAGCTAGAGCTCCTTGCCGCCTGCTGCTTCTCTCACTGCCTGGCCTGCTTTGAACATGCTCACATCCAGGGATGTGTCTGCTCTCTGTGCTTTTCTGCACCGGCCACACGTGGGGAAGGGAGGAATACAGTGCCGGTCAGCGCTAACCCCATCCCTCAGGCTTCAATGCCAGTCATTTCCTCCCTGTGGGGATGCAGACTAGCTTGGATCTAGATATTTATTTAAGTCCAACTCCTTCCAAATAGCCCGAGGCAGGGTCCTAACTAAAAGAGGGTACCAGCTGTGCCCGGAGCCTACCCTGCGAGAAAGGCTTCCCAAGGCAGCAGGCACTGCAATGCTTCCTGCTTCAGGCCTTGTGCTAAAATATTTGTATTATATGTATCAAGTTCTCCTTCATCTTGGGGTAAGCCACTGGCCTCTCTCCTCGAGGCTAAGTAAATAATTAAAATGGGTTCTGCTCATCCTTGGACTCTTACTTTCCAGGGCTTTGTTTTCATGTTCCTCTTGCAAATTCCCCCGTAGAGCCCCTTTGGGTCAAGGGGCCCAGGATCAGCATATTGCCCTAGAACATATGCATCTAAGAGGTAATTATGAAATATCAGCATGCAGGGGTGGACAAAAGTAGGTTGACAGTTGTAATAGAAATAAATGACCCGATCATTAATAAATAACAAGAACAAACTGTTTCGAGTGCTCACAACTGTAAACCCACTTTGCCCATCTGTACTGTCCCAGCCTCGGTGGGACAGCTCATCTGCACCATTCTCCGGTTCCTGTCTACTCCTCCAAAACCGCTGGCCTGCATCTCCATACCCTTTGGCATGGCTGGGAGGTTCTGGGCAAAGTCAGGGACCTGCCTATGTCACCAACCACCTCTGTCTTTCCCCCCCACCCCTCGTGGCTGAAGTCCAACACGACTCTGATCACCCTGGAGCTGGCAGACAACAGTATCATGGAGGACGGCATCCTGAGCCTGGTGGAGATGCTACAAGAGAACTACTACCTCCAGGAGCTGGTACTGTGCCTGCCCTACTGGTTCCCACCACCACACCCTGGGTCCCAGAGCCCCCTGGAGACAAGCCGAGGCCCCTGCCCGAGCCCAGGCCAGCCTCCAGGCTTTCTGCAATGCGTCTGGGGGGCCCCTCTCCTGTAGAAGTGACTTCTCAGAGGAGGGTCACACCTCAGAGGCTGGCCAGGGGGGGCCTGTGCTCCTGGTGGCTGTAGGAAACTCTAAAAAACCATTTCTATTTGGACCTCATAAACCCCTAAATAGATGAACTCACTTCTGTGTAGTTGCCTTACAGTAAAATTTTTAAAAAAAGACATGAAATAATTTCATAAAATACAATGTGCCTGGAGATAGATGATGGTGATGGTCACACAACAATATGAATATACTAAAGACCACTGAACTGTACACCGAAAAATGGTTATGATGCCGAACATTGTGTTATATCTATTTTACCACAATAAAAAGATGCAAAAATTAAAATAATAATGGCTAAGGTATATAAAATCCCTCCCACTAACCTGAAAGGACTATGTCCATATTTTGTTTAAATTTTTATTGACTTCAGAGAGAGAGAGGGAGAGTTAGATAGAAACATCAATGATGAGAGAAAATCATTGATTGGCTGCCTCCTGCACACCCCCTGCTGAGGATCAAGCCCGCAACCCATGCATGTGCCCTTGACCGAATCAAACCCTGGACCTTCTGGTCCACAGGCCGATGCTCTATCCATTTAGCCAAACCAGCTAGGGCAAGGACTATATCCATTTATCTCCCCACCTCTTCCCAGTACAGCGATTCATGCTGCATGAATCAGTGAATGAATTGGCAAGTGATTATTTACTCTAATCTCATTTTTTTTTCAATTATTTTATGCCAAACTCTTCAAATATAGCTGACTTGGGTTTCAAAAAAGTTGCCATGTGCTATCTAAAGTACTAGAGCTCAGCTGGGGAGGTGGGGCATGATTGAAGCTAAGTTCAGAGCAAACTAAGACCAGCCCGAGGGCCTCACAGCGAGGCAACAGAAAAGCCGGCCTCCTATTGTTCTTCTCTCCTCGGGACCTCACTGATCCTTCCCATCCTTTCACCCCAGACCCCTCTCCCCACTGAGAAACTACTCCCTTAGCGTATAGGTCTCTGGTCAGCCCCACTCGGACATCATTTGTTAATGAGGGCCCTTTATTGGGGTTTGTACATACACAGCTGTTTTCTTGTGTTTTAGAATATTTCCGACAATGCTCTTGGTTTTGAGGGGGCCAAAGTCATCTCAGAGTTTCTCCAGAAAAATTCCTCTTCACTCGTGAGCCTTCAGCTAGCAGGTGTGCCCAGGGAAAAGGAAGGGGGGAGAAGGGGAGGACATTGGGGAAGGAAAGGAGAAAGGAAGAAGGTGAAAGGCAGAGGGAATCAAAGTTGAGCTGAACTGGACCTGGCCCTTCTGATTGTAGAGACCAGAACGCTGTATCTACACCCTGCCAAACCCCTCCAGCCACCCTTGCCCCCTATCCATGGCCACACTGGCTTCCTGGCTCTCCTGGACCCTATACTTCTGATTCACTTTGCAACATTCCTTCCTCTGCTTTAAAGTCTCTTCCCCCAGACATCTCTCCATGACTCGCGCTTCATTCACATCCGCTCAGCTGTCATCTCCTTGGGGGATGACTCTGATGCCTTGCCTCAAAGCAGCCCCTCTCCCTTCCCATTACTTTCTATCCGTTTCCCTGCTTGGTTTTCCTTAATGGCATTTGTTACTACCTGACCCCCTGTTTTTAATTAGTTTAGCATCTGTCTCACAGAAAACAAAAAGCCAATTGAGAATTCTAGGATTTACAGAACTGCCCTCAGATTTGTGGTTTGAATTTATACCACTTGCAGGGTCCTGGAAGCCCTAAGGCAAGAAATTAACATACAAAGTGATCCTCTGCTGGTAATACCCTGAAGCATGCAACAGAAACAAACATAAAACCTCTTTGGAAGAGCAACCTCTTGACCCATACTCCTTGCCGCCTGACATTCCCACAGATAAGGCTTTCCCAAAGAAGCGTTCACATCCCAAATTGCAAAACAAGGAAACAAAACACCATGAGAGTTACCAAGTGGCAGCATCGGACTCTCAAGAACTTGAGAAATATAATTATCAGATATACACTATACATTGAGTTACCATATGATTTATCCTCTAAAATGATAGCAGCATTATTAAGTGAAACTGCAAGCAGATATCTTGCACCCAAATATAAACTATCCTATCTAATAAAAGAGTAATATGCAAATTAACCATCACTCAGCAACAAAGATGGCAACGCCCATAGTGGCCGGGGCAGGACGCTGGCGGCGTCACCCTGGCAACACAAGCCCAATGTCTGCGCCCTGGCCCCGCAGAGGGAGGGGAGGAGCCTCAGGCCAGAGGCCAGGGCAAGGGACTCTGCTGTCGTTGCAGGCCGGGCTGAAGCTCCTCCCCCCAACCCCCATGCAAGAATTTTGTGCACCAGGCCTCTGGTGTTTATTATGATTAAGAAAACCCAAAAAATGCAAGAACAAATCACTGTATTTTTTTAAAATATATATTTTATTGATTTTTTTACAGAGAGGAAGGGAGAGAGATAGAGAGTTAGAAACATCAATGAGAGAGAAACATCAATAAGCTGCCTCCTGCATACCCCCTACTGGGGATGTGCCCACAACCAAGGTACATGCCCCTGACTGGAATTGAACCTGGGACCCTTCAGTCCGAAGGCCGACTCTCTATCCACCGAGCCAAACCGGCTAGGGCTCACTCTTTTTTTAAAAAGATCTCCCCCAAAATAGAACTTCTAGAAATAAGAGTTATTGAAATTAAAGACTCAATGGATAAATTCAACAGCAAAGTAGCTATAGGTGAATAAAATTAGTGACCTGGAAGACAGATAAAAGGATATTTTACTTATCATTGCAGTATAGAAGATAAAGAGATAGAGAATATGAAAGATAAAAGAATATAAAAGGAAGAATAGACTCACTATAATAGCTAATCAGAGTTCCAGAAGAACAGGTGAGCAACAATATTTGAACAAATTATAGCTGATGTGTTCCTTGAATTGCTGAGTTATAAAATTACCTGATTTTATACATTGACTAGCTTGTTATGTCATTTTATTGCACAGCCAAAGAAATATTTGTATTTCAGTGGGTATATTCATTTGTGCATTCATAAAGTCAGTCGGTCAGGAAGCATTTATGTGCCAGGCACAGTTTGGGTGCTAGAGATACAAAGTTCAAAGAAGAAATTTGGGGATAAGCCATTTATTCCCCAGAAATCTTTTAGACTGCTTAGCAGGGCAGGGGCTAGAGCAAGGTAAGGGAGGCATTTGCCTCAGTCACACAATTTAAGGGGCATCAAAAAGCTCAGCAACGAAGTCAATAATATCTTGATGCAATATTTTTTAAAGTCAAAGTCAATACAAAAATAATCTGGGATGAACTAAAATATCAACCCTTTAAATAAAGAAACACAGTACAAAAGGAACAATCTCGGAGGGAAGGGTGGGGAGGATGGGAGGTAATCAACCAAGGACCTTGTATGCATAAATGCATGACCCATGGACACAGACAAGGGGGCGGTGAGGTCCTGGGGCAGAGGCAGGCTGTGGGGAGGTGAATGGGGGGAAAAAGGAGACATATGTAATACTTTCAACTCTAAAGAATTATATTACAAAAATAATAAAGTCAATGGAGTCTTATAAAATAAAATAATAGAATAAAAAAAGGGACAGAGTGAGGCAAGATGAGTGAGGCTTGGCTATACAAGTGCAGGGTCAGGTCCTGCCTTATTTAACATTTACAAATTTTGTTTATCATAGACTAGAGGCCCGGCGCACAAAATTTGTGCGCAGGTATGGTCCCTAGGCCTGGCCTGAGATCAGGGCCATCTTCCCTGGCTGCCGGCAGTCGGCCCCCCCCCCCCCACTGCCACCCACCCCCAGTTCTCCATCCACCATCAGGCAATCGGAGCCTGCCGGCTGGGGGGAAGGGACTGAGAGGTTGGCTGGCAGGCCCTGATCAGGCAATCGGGGCCTGCGGGCTGGGGGCAGCTCCGGCATTGAGTATCTGCCCCCTGGTGGTCTGTGCTCGCCATAGTGACCGTTGTTCCGCCGTTCGGTCCATTTGCATATTACCCTTTTATAATATAGGATGCTTCTGCATTGGTTTTGGACTTTTTTAAATGTTAAAATATTATTCATTGAGATTACTGAGCCTTTCAGTGCCCTTTAGATTTTGCACACAAAGGCAAGTGCCCCACTCGTCCCCTTCCGGCATGTCTCTGCTGCTTAGACTATATTAGCATTTTTTATTGATTTCAAAGAGGAAGGGAGAGGGAGAGAGAGATAGAAACATCAATGATGAGAGAGAATCATTGATCGGCTGCCTCCTGCACGCCCCACACTGGGGATCCAGCCCGCAACCTGGGCATGTGACCTCTTGGTTCACAGGTCAATGTTCAACCACTGAGCCATGCCGGCTGGGCTATAGTAGCATGTTTTATACTGTTACAGACTTTAGGCACTAGGCTAGGGGTTGATGCTGCCAGCAATGCACAGGGTATAGTGTTCCTGCTCCTGGAACTCCCCTGACAGCCACAGCAGAGCAAGAAGAGAATGTCAAAGGGGGTGGTAAATAGTTGCCCTTTTCCTCCTGTTTTCTTCTGTGTCCATATTTTTGCTTTGAGTACTTGCCACTTTTTCTACATCTGATTGTTCCGAGGGGAAGAGACTGGAAGAGCTGGGCTGTGGGAGGGCAAGGGAGCCCTGCCTGGAGAGCACTGATAATACCCTCCTTCCTGACAGGAAATAAGTTCAAGGACCAATCTGCAGAGCTGCTCTGCCAGGCCCTGTCGGTAAGAAGCAGGGGGTGGGTACCGCTGAGCTAGGTGGGAGATGTCCCTGGAGACCTGGGGACGCTGGGGAGCCTCTGGGTCTAGGGAAATGCATGGTATTGGGCGCTGGGGAATGTTTGGACTCTGCCCATCCTGGCCAAAGCCACAGCAGGTGGTAGGACTGTTTTTGGGTGGCAATAAACTCGCCCAGGTGTCATCAACAGTCAAACGAAAAGATGAACACGAAATTGTCTTCAGTGTAAGAACCCTAGTCCCCCTCGTTGTGGGTATGTGGGAGCCCCCATCCCACTGACCTAGGATACGGGAGGCATTTGCAGTCCCATGGAAGACCCACAGTACCTCTCTGTCCACTGCTTTTTCCCCAGGCCAATTACAGAATTAAGGAAATGGATCTCAGCCACAACGAATTCTGTGACAAGGACGGGGAGTTCCTGGGAAGCATGCTGGGTGAGTCCCCACGGAGGGAGGGGCTGGCAAAGGAGAGGGACCTGGCAAACAATCTCGTCAGAGCTGCATCTCCTGTTGTTGTTGCTATTGAGTGTTCTCATTGTAGAAGAGACCACACCCAAAATACATTGTAAATGTGGGAAGTAAAACTTTAAAATGATTAGGAGAACATCTAGAGCAGCGTTTCTCAACCTGTGGGTTGCGACCCCTTTGGCGGTCGAACGACCCTTTCACAGGGGTCGCCTAAGACCATCCTGCATATCAGATATTTACATGATGATTCATAACAGTAGCAACATTACAGTTATGAAGTAGCAACGAAAATAATTTTATGGTTGGGTCACAACATGAGGAACTGTATTTAAAAGGCCAGAAGGTTGAGAACCACTAATCTAGAGAAAGAGTTTGCTGATCTCAGAGAAGTTAACACCTGTTACATAGGCACAGTGAGTATAAACCATAACAAAAATTATCTGTATATTTGACAATAGGTTTAAAACGGGGGATGATCAAAGACATTGTGGGCAATGTTAAAAGACAAGTAATAGTCAGAAGTAGATATTTGCAGCATTTATAGAATATTAAAGGTTAGTGTTCAAAATGTTGATAAAAGATCCTACAGGTAAATTGGACGATGATAAACATTCCAAAAAAACAGTGTCAGGCCCGGCCAGTGTGGCTCAGTGGTTGAGTGTCAATCTATGAACCAGGAGGTCACGGTTCCATTCCCGGTCAGGGCACATGCCTGGGTTGCAGGCTCAATCGCCAATAGAGGGCGTGCAGGAGGCAGCTGATCAATGATTCTCTCTCATCATTGATGTTTCTCTCTCCCTCTCCCTTCCTCTCTGAAATCAATAAAAATAGAAATTTAAAAATAAACAGTGGTCAAGGCATATGGACAATGAAAAATCAAAGCCAAATGCCCAACCTCTTTGGTAATTAGAGAAATGCCATTAATAGAACAACAAAAAGATTCCCCCTTGTCATCTATCAAAGCTGCAAAATGTTCAAGTCAGAGAATTCACAGTGCAGTGAACACAGGGATAAATAACCCTCAGAAGCTGCCAGGTAAAGGCACTTTGGAGAGCAATTTGACAGTATTTAGTAAAATTGAAAATGTGTATATTCTAGGATGCAGCAATTCACTTCTCCATGTCTCAGAGCGCTCTCTCTCTCTCTCTCTCTCTCTCACACACACACACACCACACACACACACACACACACACACACACACGTCTAAGGAGTTTCATTGCAAACTTGTTATAAAAGAAAAAAAATAATAGCTCCTAAATGTTCATCCCTGGGGAAAGGAGTAGACAGGGGGAGGGCACTTAGTGTGGGGATGGAGGGTGCTAATTTAGGTGCGGTGATGAGAGAAAGGCCCACAGGGAAGGTGGCTTTCTGTTGAAGCCTAAATATGATAAATAAGAAACAGCCGTGCTAGGTTCTAGAAGCTCAGCATTCCAGGCAGAAAGAACAGAGCGTGGCACATTCGAGGAACATGTGGGGGAGGGGGACAGGGTGGCTGGAGCAGAGTGGACAGTGGAGGAGAATGGAAGGACAAGAGGTCATCGAGGTGGCCAGCAGCCACTTGTGTCGGTTTTGTGGGACTTGGACATGCACGAAGTCTGGATTTTATTCTCCTGTGATGAGAGGTCGGTGAAGGATGTGAACGTGGGGAATGATGTGGTTTGATTTGCAGTTTTAGAACTTCTGTTGAAGGCAACTGAGGAGAACAAGAATGGGAGGAGGGAGGCCAACGAGTAGGCCCGAGGATGATGCGTGGGCTAAGGGAGCAGGCGATGGAGAGAGGACGGAGTCAGAGTATATTTTGGCAGCAAAGCCAAAAGGACTTGTTGACCTGAAGAATGAGGGAAAGAAAAAGATAGACTCGTGCTTATTTTGTTTCAGATACTGGTTTGAATGAGTGTCATTTACCCAAATGGGGAAAACTCAGGGAGTCACAGGGATAGAAGAGCAGGAGTTAGGAGGCAAGATTTCCATTCAGGCCACGTAATGTTTGTAATGGAAACATCAGGTAGGCAGTTTGCTATGTGAGTTTAGAGCTTGGCTGGGGCTGGACAAATACCTTTGGGATCCAAAGGCATGTAGATGTATTTAAAACCATGGGACAAGGGAGTGACCCAGGACTCAGAGTGATTCCCATGTACTCAACTCTATCTACACTCGCCTCTATCTCACCTTGTCCCAAACAAAACTAACAATGATCAGGTGTTTAAATAGGATGTTTTCCCAACCCCATGGATAGGGTGTCCCAAAATTCACACAAGAAGTAATTTTGATAGAAAACACAGGTTTATAATTAAAAATTGTAAATTTTTTATTGATTCATAAAGTATACAGTATAGGGTTATGTATGGAATAGCACATCAGGTAAATGGCCTCCACGGCTTTGCTGGCACATACGCAAAGCCGTGGTCTTCATTGGTCTTCATTGTCCCTGCTCCTGGGCCATAATTGGTTCTTGGAAATGCTTATCAAATTGAAGGGATTGAAATCAAAGGACAACAGATATTAGAATCTGATTCAATAAACCAAGTAAAATTAGGCTTTTATTCTTTGTTGTTGTTGTTAATACTCACACAAAATTCAAATCTTGCGTGAATTTTGGGACACCCTATAGCATTTAAACAAAATAATCTCTAAGTTAAAAAAAAAATAGTGCAAGTTCCATGCAAACCTGGCATGTAGACAAGCTTGATGCCTCGCTACTTCCAATGGGTTGTGTCCCTAAAGCGGAATGAAATAGAAAGTCTGGGTCCACCACTGCCCCCTGCAGGTCTCCATGTGAACGACATCGCAGGATGTAGTGCTCCATGCAATCACAACCTCCCTCTGTGAACACGACTCCTGTTTTCCAGGCTGTCTCCCTCTACTTTAATGCACACCATCCCACCAGGTGGATATTTATGCTGCACTTGACCTGTCCCCTGTGAGTCACGAGCCTTACTTGTAAAAGTGATGCCATGGCAAACAGCTACAAGCATGTCGCCCTTCTCACAGCCTGTCTCCTTGGGAGGAGTCGCAGAGGTGATTCCACTGTGTGACAGGGTGCACACATGTTTATAGGAAAATACTTGGGACCAGATGATATTTGCCAAATAGATGGTGTTGACTTGCTTGCCACCTGCAATACCTGAGTAGGGTTATTTTACTTCATTGTTGGCAGCACTGGAAATCATCTCACGATTTTGTGTCTAAATGAATCACTGAACAAATGTTACTTCTGCGTTTTACTTTTTATGAGCGCTGAGCTCTCCTTATTCCCAATGGCATCGCTCTCTGCCAACCCTGAGAGTGGGGTCCCTGAAATGCAGGGGATGCTAAGTTGATCCCCCACCCCCTCTCCAGCCCTCAACGTAGGGCTCCAGACACTGGACCTGAGCTGGAATCACTTAAGCTCACGGGCAGCTGTGTCCTTGAGCAACGGTCTCCGGGTAAGGTCTCCCTGGGAGTGGTGTGCTGAGCGGGGGTTGAGGGGTGAAGAGTGAGGGGGTGAAGGTGGGAGCGTGGGGGTGCGAGGGAGGTCCCGCCCCGCCCTGCCATCTTGAACTCTTCCTCATGGTCGCCGCTGATGCGGATATACTGAGCTCTTCCCATTGTTGGCCTCCCTCCCACAATTCCTGGATGCACGTTATTCTTTAGCATAAATCCTGTCCAGGAGAATTCACCCTGCTAGGGCCCAGGTGGCATCTTTGGGAGTACTTCAAGGGAGCAGTTTAATGATGGAGTAGGGAATGACCAGAACCCAACAGGAATGTATTCTTGAGACTGAGTGCAGCTGGGAGGTCGGGGGAGAGCTGGCCGAGACCGCTCTCCAGGGACCACTGGGTCCCCAGCCTGGATGCCGACCCGGGATAGATGCCCCTTGATACCGGTGCTCTTCTCCCCCTCCCTGGAGTCCAACGTGACCCTGAAGACACTAGATATCTCCATGAATGGCTTTGGGAACGAGGGGGCTGCGGCCCTAGGGGAGGCCCTCAAATCCAACAGCTCCCTGGCCTACCTAGATGTCAGCAACAATGACATCGGCAACGAAGGGATCATCAAACTCAGCAAAGGACTGGAGTTCAACGAGTGCCTCCGAACTCTGAAGGTAGAGCCTTTACCTGGCTGGGAACGGGCCGTTTTGCGTGTGCGTCTGTGTGTGTGCGTCCATGGGTGCGCATCCAGGTATGTATCAGTGCATCGTGTGTAGGTGTGCGTGTGTCATGTGTGGGGATGGGTGCAGCAGGGTGATGGGGCTGGATATTGCCAAGGAGAATCACTGTGAAATGTGCCTGGTGCCTCACATGTGCGTATATTCTCGGCTGCCTCGCTGCTACAAACCCAGGATCCCCCGCTGCTCTCAGCTGGTGCGCGTACAGGAGTCATCCCCTAACTGGTCTCCCTTCCTCCCATGTGGGTCTCCTGCAGGCTCTGGAGCATAAATGATCCCACCCCCTCCCCCCACACACACACCTACTCCCCTGCGGCTTAGACCCCCCTCTGTGGCCACCTGCTACGCAAATCCAGGTCTCTCGGCCCTGTGTGCTTCTCCAACCTCAGTTCACCCCATGCTTTCCCAAGGCCTCGGGGTCTCCTTTCATCTCCGTGGTCCTGCCAGGGCCTTGCTCACGCCCGTGCTGGGCCTGCAGGACTCTCCCCGGCTGATGTCCTCCCCTGGCCTTCACTGCTTCCTGCCTCAGAGCGTAGCTCGAGCAGCAATTCCCCAGGTGGGTGGGTGGGTGGAAGATCGGACAAAAAGACAGGCAGGGAGAAGGTGCTTACAGAGACGTCTGGGTGGAACAGAGACTGATTTGATGGAAAGAAATGGGAGTCGGGCCCTGAGCCAGCCTCTCCTGTCCTCACCTCGGCCTCTTCCTGTGTCGCCCCCCTTCCCACAGCTTTTCCTGAACCCTATGAACATGGATGGAGCTGTGTCACTTATCATGTCCATCAAGAAGAACCCCAGATCCAAGATGGAAAACCTTGACATTTCCGTGAGTAATCAGATGGTAGTCGCTTGCACCCGTGTCAGCAGGTGCCAATAGCCACGCCCCTCAGAGGCCTTCACACAAAAGCTCCCTGAAAAGGTCACTCCTTTTGGGGCGCAACTCTGCCCCCTCCAGCGGTCCTTTCAATAGAGCAGCTGTCAGTGGCCGAGAGTGAGAAATCATCTACCCGGCCCTGGACCAGGGCCCTGCGCACCTGAGAGCAGGCCGAGCTCAGGTGCAGAGACGGCGGGAAAGGGCAGGAGGACCCAGGGCAGAGCGTCTGCCAGCCGTGCTGCTGGATGGCCCCGAATCCCAGAAAGGCTCCAGAATCACAGGGCTTTTAACATCTGAGTCATAGAACGTGGACAGACTTGCATTTTCATTTCATAACGTAGCCTACTCTGCTCAGAGCAGTGTTTGAGGCTAAAGTTAAACAATCCCTTGATGGGCAGGGAAAGCCTGAGGAAGTGACTTCACCCTGTCAGGTTCTCCCGCCTGAATCATCCTAGAGGTGATAGCTGAGAATAACCGTGTCCTGCACTCGTCTATCACTTTATACTCTTTTTCCTCCCAAAGTGATGTTATACCTGCCGGCTCATTGGATCCTAATCCGGGAGGCGGGTCCCAGAGCTGCTGTAGCAAAGGTCTGTGAGCTGGGTGGTTAAACAATAGAAATCTATTGTCTCACAATTGTGGGAGCTAGAAGGCAGGGTTGGCGCCACCTGAGGGTTAGAGGGAGAATCTGTTCTGTGCCCCTCTCCGAACACCCACTGGTTGTTGGCAATATCAGAGTAGGTCCACCCTAAGGACCTCATCTTAACTCAAAGACCCTATTTCTAAATACAGTCACATGCGCAGATACCGAGGGTTAATATGTGTGTGTGTGTGTGTGTGTGTGTGTGTGTGTGTGTGTGTGTATATAATTCAACCCATAACAAGAACTTTCCCTCGTTTTCCCATTTTGCATATAATTAAACTAAAACAGAGAGGCTGGGTCACTTGCCTAGGACCGCACAGCAAGTGAGAATCACAGCAGGGAGGAAAACCAGGGCTTCTGCCTCCTACTCTAGAGTTCTAAAAAGGCACAGAGGGACATTTTTTAATGCCACACAAATAAGTTTTGCTAAGCCATTGACGCCTTGCAATGATAGCCGTGATGACATTTTGAATATTTAAACCCAAGTTCCTTGGAACTGAATAATAAGTTTATGTTTGCCACAGATTATGAAACACTATAAACACATCTCTACTTTCTTTCTCTTTTCCTCACCCCTGCCTCCTGCCCCAGGCTCCTGTGCTCTGTTCCCTCACCCCTTTCTCCTCGGAGGCCCGCTCTCCACCCTCACCCCACAGCTCTGACCTTGCACCCACTCCGCCCTGCCTCTGAGTCCCAGCCACGGGTCGAGATTTTGTGGATATTTGGTTTTCCCTCCCACAGAGCTGGTTGGAGGGGGTGGAGCCAGGCCCGGCCTTGGTGTGTCTGAGGGAATGTCAGACATGGTGCTGTTTCGGCTCCAGACGACATATAGCCCATGAACTCGGATCACTTTGCCACTAAACAAGCCTCCCAGGAGGGAGCACACCTGTGCCATTCCCTTCCCTCTCTCCCTCCCCCCCCCCAGACACGCATCTCCTAAACCCCAGGGACCTCAAGGAACCCCATGAGACTTGCAACCAGGGCAGCAATGGGCAGCGGCAGCTCATCCAGGCTCACCCCCCCGAACTTGTCTCCAAGGCCCCCTTTTCTCTGACTTCCCGGTGAGCCGAAGCAGCCAGCCTAGGCCCTCCTGTAGCTTCTTCCAGGCCCTTCTTTGTTTCACTGTCCTAAGTGGTTTTGGGGGGAGTTTTTGTTGTTGTTGTTTTTTTTGGGGGGGGGGGTGCTGTGGTCAATAAATTCTAGCTTGCTTTACTAAAAAAACAAAACAAAAACAAACAAACAAAACCCCACAATCCTACCAGACCAGTAGGTCTGAATTAGCCTTTCTCTTCCCTGTCGTCACCTATGCTGCCATAACTCTGTGGTGTTGGAATTCCTTCACTGTAGATGCTTCTAGACCTTTCTCTAGAATACCTACAAAAAGAGTAAGTCTTCAGCCCTTAAGCATGGATTTAAGTCTTTGAAAGGCAGGAGATACTAGAACCAAACCTGAGGAATGAAGCAGGTTAATCTCCCCGAGGGAGGCCAGGTTTGCTCCAACGCCATTTCACGGAACACACCTCCTCCTGCGGCCTGTAACCCCTGGGTCTCGGGGACTTCCTTCGGGGAGTTCCCAGTGTGGGCTGAGCTGGGCCCAGGTGGTGGGCGTGAGGGGTCCTCTTCCAGGGCATCTGCTCTGAAGACCAGCACTGACACAAGGATGGACCCGTCTGCAGCCCCATCGCTGCATCTCGTGGCCGCACGCAGACGGTTAGGCTTGCTGTCTGAGAGTGTTGAGATGACCTGGCGTGGTGAGCCCCCAGCACACAGACAGAACATCCAATCCATCACGCGGGAATCACACGAGTTAAACCACAAGCTCTAAACAACGTGAACCACCCCCTCTAGGAGCTGCATTGCGGGACAAACTGGAAGAGACGCGGCCGGCCCTCTGGCTGGCTTGGGTGGGACACTGGTCTGGGCAGGAGGATGGCGCAATGGTGGCCCCCTCCCCACGATGGGTCCCCTCTCTCCCTGTCCCAGCATGTGATGGTGTCCGAGCAATTTGTGAAATTCTTAGATGGGGTGTATGCCGTCCACCCCCAGCTGGACGTGGTCTACAAGGCAATCCAAGGCCTCTCTGCCAAGAAATCCATCATCCAGTATCCAAACCCCATGAAACTGATCCAGGTGAGCCCCTGCTTTCCTCTCAGCCCCACAGGGACCCCTGCAGAGAGCTGTCCTCTGGCCCCAGTCAGCTACGCAGAGTCTCCCCGCCCCCAAGGCGTCTGCACAATCCTCTCTGACAAGGACCCTCAGAGGAGGAATATTCCCTGTGGATTTCAGGAGCTCTCCGCAGGAGGGGACAGCTGAGCACTGGCTCAAGTGGGAGGGGCGTGGAACAGGGTGGTTTCTACCAGCCAGGCTCCTCCCCTGGCTGTTGTAGGGCCAAAGGCAGGTCACTGAAGCTTTCTGTGCCTCAATCTCTTCACCTGTAAAATGGGCACAACGAAAGCACACACCCTCGCAGGGATGCTGTGAAGATTAAATTCTAGAATGTGCGTGAAGTGTTTAGAACGATGCCTGGCATGTAATAAGCACCCAGTAAATGTGGGCTCTTTCCAACAGCTGGTAAGAAAGCCAAGACCCCTGTGGTCAGGACAGCCATGTGGTGGCTTCAGCTAAAGAGGGACCCTCAAGGCCTTTACATCTAGTGGTAACCTGGCTTGAGTCTTAGGTCGTCTCTGGCAATCACAAGAGGCAGATGTAACAGTGAAAATAAAAAATCAGAGCCTGCTAGAGCTACTAGGGGGTATTAGACTATTAGAGCCATTGGGGGTATTAGAGCTCCTCAGGTCTGACCCCCTCAGAGCAGCATCCAGCCCCAGGCCTGGTTGTCCACCGCTGGCTGTCACCCCAAAGTTCTAAAAGGCAAAGGGGTATCAAGTATCTTTCTAGGTCAGAGGACCGCGGGTGGCACCGAGGGGAAACCTGTTTTGCAAGGGAAGCAGGATGTCCAGTGGGCAGGAATGGCGTCATCTGATGCAAAGTGGGGGCCTGCCCCTTGTTTCCAACAGCACAGAGAAGGAATCTAGGCAAGACCAAGCCCCACACGCAGCGTGAAATGCAGTCCTTTCCCTCAGGGGCCAACAAGCGGGTTTGGAAAATGGGACAGACACAGTAACTGCTAATAGAAAGGGTCAGATGGTAGACTAGAGGCCCGATGCATGAAATTTGTGCAAGAGTAGGCCTTCCTTCCCCAGGCTGCTAGCACCAGCTTCCCTCTGGCACCTGGGACCCCGGCTTCCCTCACACCCCCAGCTTCATCCGGAAGGTCGTCTGGAAGGACGTCCGGAAGGATGTCTGGTCTAATTAGCTTATTACGCTTTTATTATTATAGATAACAAATAAGTGGCAAAGCAGCAAAGATAATCAGAGCCCAGGTTAGAGGGCATGTAGGGTTGGCAAACAGAAAAGGATGCTTCCTGGCAGAGATAGGGTTGGGAAGGGCCTTGATGATCAAGGATTCAGGTGAGCAAAGATACTAAACAAGGACCCCAAAAGAATATTTTAATGATATTGAAAGGGTGTTCACAGTGTATTGGCACAGTGCATTTCATAAACCAGTATGTACAGTAGAAAAACGATGGGTGGCTGGGTGGATGGTAGATAGATAGATAGATAGATAGACAGACGGACAGACAGACAGACAGGTGAAAGGATACACATCAAGATGTTACCTCTGGATAGTGGGATTGGGTTTATGGCTTATTTTTCATTTTCTTCTTTCTACTAATCTAAAATCACCTTACAATGTGATTGGCTAATATTTTTTTAAATGAAACATTATTTTTAAAATACTCTAACACAGTGTAAGCATCTGTGTGAAATGATGAGAACTAAGTGAATTCTGAGAACCAGACCTGCCCGTCACACAGCGTGGCTGTGGTTGGCTTCTGGACGCTAAGCCAACACCAGCTCGCCCACTGCCCACAGTGCACCATCTACACGAGTCTTAGCAGAGGCAACTTCAGAACTAAATAACACACATGAACACAGTCACTGCCCCATTCCTTCGGTGCCCTGTGCAGACAATTCTCTTGGTCTTACATGACGCACATGTGGGAGACTCGAGCTCCTGGGACTGCCCCGTCACACGCCCCCGTGGCCTGCTGGGCCTGGGTGGGGAGGGGGAGTAGTTAGAGATGTTACAGGGGCCAGCATCCGCTCCTGGTGTCTCCCTCCCTCAGAGCTATGCCGACCAGAACAAGATCAAGGTCCTGGACTTCTTCAAGAGCTTGACCCCTACTGGGATGATGAAGATGCCTGTGAGCGAGTTCTTGAAAGCCATGATACAGGTGCGCTTATCCCTGTACCCCTGGGCACTGTGTGTGTGTGCCTGCACACGTGTGCATGTGCATGTGTGTGCACATGCATGTATGTAGGGGGCTGGAGAGCAGGTAAGCTGAGCGCTCCATTAACCTCACATGTTCCACCCACCTCCTCAGCAAAACAAGATCCCCCTAAACCGGTTCCAAATCAGGGAGCTGATCAAGCGGCTGGATGACAAGAATGGCAACATGAACTTCAGGTCAGCACAGGCCCGCGGCGGGCCCCAACCAGCCTCTGTCCCAGGGGGCCCTCGGTTCTCTAGAACGGCCGTCTCCAGCCCGTGGCCCGCAGACCATTGGTGGTCCGTGAGGTCCGAAAGGTTGGCGACCGCTGCTCTAGGAGGCACCCCTGAGCTCCAGGGGCCACCCCGTCTGCATGGCATTAGGTCTGGTCTCCCCTGCATAGCAGGCTGCCTTTGCCCCCTCCCACGGCTGCCCCCTGGGTACCCTCCTTCTCATCTTCCGCTGGCTCCCTTGGCCAAGCTTCGGGCTCAACTGCACACGGCAGGCTGCGAGCCTGATTCTGGGGACACAGCACTCACAGCAGATAGGAGGTGACACAAGGGAACAGTGATTAGGCCCTGGCATGGTGAGGGGGTGTCACACGGACATAGAGGAGAGGGCAGAGGGACATCAGGTCCACGCACTGGAGTGTGAGCCGGGCAGGGGAACTGCGGCCGTCCCATGCTGTGGCTTAGGGAGTGATGCAGGTTGTGACTCAGGCTGGAGTCCTTGAGATAGGAAAGGGCTGTGACAACAGTAATAACGATAACCGACACCCGTGAGTCCGACCAGGTGCCAGCCTCTGCCAGTCACCAAACAGGCACAGGTGCCTGAATTCCCACGCACCCCCGTGCTAGTGACAATGGCATTTATTTTCTGTTTTGTGACTACGGTGATACTGTCACCAATGTCCTTTTGTATGCAGTGTTCGCACACGTGTGTTCTCAGACACACGCTCGGTGGTGCAGACCTGGTGTGATTGCTGGCCAAAGGGTGTGCACATTCTTTATTGCTGTTATTGTTCATCCTTACCCGAAGATAATTTTTCCATTGGTTTTTAGAGAAAGTGGAAGGGAGGGAGGGAGGGAGAGAGAGAGAGAGAGAGAGAAACATCAATGTGAGAGAGACACCTCAATTGGTTGCCAGCCTCCTGCACCACCCCGACTGGGGCCAGGCATTGAACTTGCAACCCAGGTACATGCCCTTGACCGGGAATCGAACCTGTGAGCCTTTGGTGTGCAGGCCAATGCTCTAACCACTTAACCACATCAGCCAGGGCAGGGTGTGCACATTCTAAACTTCAATCTACTGCCAAACCCTGGCCAACAACGGAACCCAGCTCTCTGCTCCTCCCCCGTGCCCACACCAACCTCACCCATGTGCAGTGCTCTGCCAGGCCGAGAGATGGGTTCCCAGTGGTCTCGCTTGGAGCTGAGCCTAAACGTTCTCTCCATCAGCCAGGAGGCTGCATTGGCGCAACATTATCCCCTTACCTTTCAAACCAGTGTCTTGGAAGTGGCGAGGCCATAGCAACAAGTCTGTCCTGGAAAGAAGTTTCTGTGACAGAGAAGTCCTGGCAAATCGGCCAGCGGCGAGGAGGAGGAGAGCTGGCTGAAACTGCAGTGGACAAACACCGAGGCCAGGACTGGGAGAGAGCCAATAAAGTCTGGCTTGATCTCGGCGTCTCTGGGCTGCTGCTGGTGCACCCTTCCCAGGGGAGTGCCCTCTGGTTTTAGGGAGCGTGTCCTTGAGGGCCTCTTTAGGAACCAGGAAGACACATTGGGGATGCAGTGGGGTTGCTAGGCGGCAGGGAAAGAGCCGTGGGGAGGAGGCCAATGCATAGAGACGTCGTGTGGTCATAGTAATTGTGAACTGTGTCGAGGGGAGAGATTTCAAGGTGCGGGAAGCAATGGCAGAGGGAACAGACGCCCAGGAGATGCGGACAGGGGCCTTCAGGAGCACACGCCGAGGGGTCACGTGTAGGAAGCCAGGCCGGGAGGCGGAGAGACCTGGCTTCTCGGTGAGGCCCGGCACTACCCGGCACCTGGCCTCGGAGCCTCATGGTTCCACCTGCGAAGTGAGACAGCTGCAACCGGTTGTAGGGACCTCCCACTCCACGTTTTTCGGGAAACTGGGGAGACATGAGGAGCTGAGCAAAATAGCCAAGTACAGCATACTCTGAGCAGGGGAGGTGGGGGGGCGGGTAACTTAAAGGGTCTCGGTTAACCTCATCAGTTACCTTTGCGGATGAAGAACAGCAGGGACTGTCTCTGACATCCCTGTAGCACCGCATGGTGCCTGGCAGATAGTAGAAGCTCAATAAATACCCGTGGAGTGAACAGACACATTCATCTGGCAATTGTTTTGAGCGAGTGGTGGGAAACTGGGGAAGTCGGGGGTGTCCAGGAGCTGGCACTTCAGAGCAGCAGAGGTGTGCCGGACGGCACCCAGGAATCAAGCCCCAGCCGCGGGTGTCACTCTGCTGCAAGGTGGGGGGTGATGCCCAGGCCTCTCCACATCTGTGGCAGAATCATGACTTGAAACGATGGATGTCCCCCTTCCCACAGCATGTTTTCCCCTTTCCCATCCTTATTCAAAGTCTTCCCCTGAAGTTGATGGTACAGGGCCGTGGTCGGCAAACTGCGGCTCGCGAGCCACATGCGGCTTTTTGGCCCCTTGAGTGTGGCTCTTCCACAAAATACCACGTGTGGGCGCACGTACAGTGCAATTGAAACTTCGTGGCCCATGCGCAGAAGTTGGTTTTCAGCCTGGGCAAGTCTATTTTGAAGAAGTACTGTTGATATTTGGCTCTGTTGACTAATGAGTTTGCCGACCACTATACTACAGGGGCTCCGAGTCGAAATTAGGAGGATGAAAAGAAAAGAAAGAAATACAACAAGGAGGTCGTGGGCTGAAACTCGCACCCACCATACCCAGCAGGACCTGTAGATGTCTTTGCTCCAACTCCCCAGATAAATCAAATCCGCTTGAAGCCAGGGACCATGTCTCTTAAGTCTGTTATGATCCATAAAATTCTCCACCAAGTCCCCTGCCTGTGAGTGAGCGTCCAGTCACTGCTGGTGTCTGGGTAGAACCCTGAGGACAACGAGGCCATAAAGTATCAAAATGTGTTAGCAGCTGTGGGTTATAGATCAGTAAAAAACACCGTTTTCTCAAGATGCTTTTATTTATCTTTTGCATAAAAATGAAAAGGCAGCAATTTTTTTGACCAAATGTTATTATCTGCTTGGGTAGCTATTGGAGAATGATGGAGATACAGGAAAGCGGAAATCTACTCGCCCCAACCCTGACCCCCACCCCCATCCCCACCCCCCAGACCACTCACAGTCACTGTCATCACCTAGTAAGTGAAGGACCGCCAAGCCCCAAACCTGCCTGCAACAGCCCTGGAGCCTTCCCAATGGTGGAGTAATTCCCACTTGTGGCCACTAGGTGTCAGGTCAGCTCCAAAAGTCCTTCTGAGGGCTGTGCTCAGCCAGCTTTGCACGCTTTGCCATGCACTTTCTCTGATCGCCCAAACTTCTGCTCCTGAGGAGACTGGCATGAAATCTGATACCCGGGGAGGCCTCTCCAAGGCCCAGCGTCCTCATTGTGGACCATGGTAACTAACAGCGACCTTGCATCTTTGTTGTAAGGAAGAAAACCAGGCACCCAGCGAAAGTTCCCTAAACATTCCCCTCCCCCAGTCAGCCCACCCTGGAGCTGGGCACGACCACAGAGAAGACATGCTCCATTTGGGGGACGGCACAGGGCACACGCCCTCTGACCATGGCCTGACTGGCGCTTTGTCAGCTTGCCAAGTCAGGAGGACTTCCAGCAGGAGGACCCTGCAGGAGCTCAAGCACAAGGTGTTGGTAGAGGGGCTCGCAGGAGTAGGAGAGGCCAAGGGGTCAAAGAGGGCGCTGGCTCACACGCCCAGCACTGAAAGGGGTCAGGCTGCAGCCGGGGAGAGGACACCTGGCATGCCCCTCCTTCCATGCCCAGCTCAATGTGGCTTCAGGCGCTAACTCTTTGCATCCTATCCTCACAGTGACCCTGTGCAATGAAGTCTATGATCTCCGTTTTACAGCTGGGGAAACGGAGGCAGGGAGAAGTTAAGCTTCTTGCCCAAGGTCTCCTGCTAGTAAGTGGCCAGGCGGAGAGTCAGACCTTGGAAATACGGCTCTGGCTCCTTGCGGCTTAACCACTGTGCGTGACTCCCTGCCCCTCAGTGGTTTCCACACAGCTTCGTATCAGCACGGGGAAATGTAGACGCACCTGCTCTGTTTACATCCTTTCTAACACCAAGTGCAGAATAACTCAGTTGAGGAGCAGGCATGACCTCCAGGCCAGGCTGGACTGGCCAATGGAAAGGCAGGTGGGGATGCTCTGTGGTGGCCGCTTTCTCAAGGTCAGGAGGATATGCCCTCCCTGGCCCCTGCATTGCTCAGAAACTGCACCAGGGGAGGCAGGGTGGGAGAAGAGAAGGAAGCACGTGGAATATCTCGGGGTACCAGAATCGTGAAGTGGTTAAGCATGCACAGTCTGGCATCTGACAGTTCTGGGTTTGAATTCTGCCTGGCTTCGCCAATTAGCGGGCTTTGTGACCTTGAGTAAGTCACTCAGCTTCTCTGAATCTCAATCTCCTCAGCTGTTATGGATAATGGCACCCCTGCCCCCTACGGTGGCTGTGAAGATTTGCTGAAATCCTGCGTGTAAAACCCTGAGCCCAAAGCCTGGTACACATAAGTGCCTGATTGTGGTGAGCCAGCACGGCCATGGCATACTCAGCCCCAGGGCGCCTTATGTGCCATGCCAGCTCAGCCTGGTTCAGTGACCCTGCGTCGGGGGGTTGAAGGATTGAGAAAAGACAGACAAGAGAATGAAAGCTGGATCTCGGTGGGACACTGCTCCCTGATGAGGAGACAGCGCCAGCGCCCACAAGCCGTGTCTTTATTTTATAGCAGATGCCACGAGGCAAAGTAGGGGCGTGATCACGTTGTTTACAGCATTCTCGTGAGTTTCAACCTCACTTAACTACATGCACCCGAACTCTATCACAAGGCACGTGGGGCTACGTGTTTGGACCATAGGTTCCAGCTTACAACCACAGCGGTTGGTTATAATTGTTCTGGGTGGGCCCTGCCCTCCAGCTGGGACTTGGACGTGTCAATGAGAGGACCCTGTCCTTTCATTAGTCCGAGGCTTGAACCTGGCCAAAACACCGTAACCGCGCCCCACACCTAATATAATCATGACCTCATTACTGTGGCGTTCCACCCCTAAGAGGGAGGGGTGCAGGGAGCTGTGGGTGCAGCAGGGCTCATGAGGGGCCAAACCGAGCAGCCACCTGTGGAACACTTAAGTACCTAAGTACTGGGGTCTTTGGTGTCTTTTTTTTTTAAATCCTCACCCTAGGATATGTTTTTGTTGATGAGAGAGAGAGAGAGAGAGAGAGAGAGAGAGAGAGAGAGAGAGGAAAGAAGGAGGGAGAGTGAGCAAGCGAGAGAAACATTGATCAGTTGCCTCCCGAATGTCAGGGATTGAACCCGAAACCTAGGTATGTGCCCTGACCGGGAATTGAACCAGCAGCCTTTCAAGGCCTGGGACGACACTCCAACCAACTGAACCACGCCAGCCAGTGCCGTACTTGGGTCTTCGAAAACCATGGGAATCGTGCCAATCTCGGGTTTCGGTTTAAGGCTTGCATAAAATAAAAGGTCCAGAATCCTAAGAATTGGCGGGAGGCAGGAAGGTCAGGGACCAGTAGCTCTGTGTGGGCAATGCAGGGGACACAGTGGACATCTGGCATTTTTCTTGCCTGCTGAGGTCTGAACCTCCTTTTGGGGTTGGGGTGCCTCGCTTTACAAGCCTTTGGAGGGGTGGCTGGGACCTAGGACCATGCCTGCACCAGACGCCGACTCTCTGGGCCAGATTCAGGAGGCTGTGTCCCCAAGAACCGAGGTCCCCAGAGAACGTCCTCAGGCAGCTGTGTTGCTGCAGCTGGATGGGGTCCTGGGAGCAGTGGTGGTGGCGATGCGGGTCCAGGGCCTGGGGTCAGCGGGTCAGTGGAGCAAGCTGCAGCCTCGGCTGAGGGGTGTTTTGTCAAGCAGGGAGCTTGGGATTGGTTTTCTTTTGTTTTGCTTTAAACAATGATTGGCAAGGCAAGCCTGCGTCTTAAACACTGGCTGCTGACCAATGGCCTAGAGAAAAGAAACAGTTCTCCTTCAGGAAGCAGACATCCTGGCTGGGGTAGAGTGGGGGTGGGGACCTTGGGCCCAGGGGTGCCTTTTAAGGTGTTGTTTTGCCACCACTTTAGGGAGCCCTTGGTGAGCTGGCGCGGGACAGGCTGGCTGGATGCCGCGGTGACTGGATGAATGAGACAGCTCTGCGTGTGCACATTGTTGTGGTAGAATCAAGAACATAATGGGTTTCTTTCCCAGTTCCTGGCACGGGCTTCAAAAACCCTTGGAATTTCCCGCGAGGAGTATCTGCTGTGCTAATAAGGTGACTCAGGGTGGGTCCCCAGGCCGTTTCAGGATGGGGCTGGGCACCAGAAACACCCACCACGTGAGGAGAGGTCGGGACTCCCGCCAGCAAAAGGAGAGGGCGTCGGAAACTGAGTCCAACGCCTGCCCGCCTGCTCCGTCAGAAGACCTCAGTGACAGCTCTGGACACGGAGACTCAGCGGCGCGTCCCCGGAGTCAGCGCATCCGTGAGCTGGGAGGGTGGTGCTGAGTCCCCGGGGAGAGGGCCGGAAACCGCTCCCTCCCAGATCTCACTGGGTCCCTTCATTCAGCTGCTCCTGAGTCACAGCCTCAAGCTGTAATCATAGCACTTTCAGGGGGTTCCGTAAGTCATTCCGGAGAATTATAGAAACTGAGGGGGTCACCGGAGACCCCCAGTTTGGAGTCGGCGAGTCAGAAGGGCGGGTGTCCTGGGGACCCCACTGACAGCTGGTGTCTAAAGTGGGGGTAGTCCGTGGGGGACTGAGCCCTTAACCTGGGGCGTCTGACGCTGATTCTGGGTGGTTAGCGTCAGAACTGAATTGCAGTCCCCCCACCCCCCCCCACCCCACCCCGGGTGGTGTGACCTCGGGCGCAGTGGACATGGGCACGTATGTAGTCATTCCGGAGAATTATAGAAACTGAGGGGGTCACCGGAGACCCCCAGTTTGGAGTCGGCGAGTCAGAAGGGCGGGTGTCCTGGGGACCCCACTGACAGCTGGTGTCTAAAGTGGGGGTAGTCCGTGGGGGACTGAGCCCTTAACCTGGGGCGTCTGACGCTGATTCTGGGTGGTTAGCGTCAGAACTGAATTGCAGTCCCCCCACCCCCCCCACCCCACCCCGGGTGGTGTGACCTCGGGCGCAGTGGACATGGGACACGTATGTACACAAAGGCATGCTCACACCTGAATTACAGAGACATGGTGTGTGTGCTCGAGTATGTCCACGCCCAACAAGAGGGGCTCACCTGCGTGCTGACACCCAGGCCAGCCTGCTCCCTAGCTGGCATCCTAACAGCTGGGCTTCGTGGCAGCCACCGCCCCCTCCCACTCCGCCCCGCCCCACCTTCTTGTACCTCTCTCCTGGCTGTACCTCTGTTTTCCCAGAAGAGGGCGCTCCAATCCCATAGTC